CTCATAGTCTTGACCCCCCACACCTTCACTCCTGGACGAGGCCCCCAGCCTTTGCATCTTTGCAGAGAACTTCTTTGGGATCTACTGCAGCCTTCTACCCCTGGGATGCTGGTCAGCTGATAGCCAGAGAGTGGTTTTCGACTCGGCTCAGCGCAGCCGGCAGGTAAGGGGTCTTGACTATGTTGAGAGGCGGCCCCAGCGACCAACCCCCAGGGCCCTAGGGCGTGGCATGTGCATATCGCTGGGTGCAACGCCCGGCCACAAGGTCTCACCGGCCCCTTAAGGCTCTGCCTCCTCTGGTCCTGGATTCACTTCCTGCAGGAGCCTGGCTGCCCTGGTGGCCTCAGATGCCATCCTTGGTCATGGTATCCTGTAGTGTCTACAACGGAGTCCTTGGCCTTTTTTCCTGAGGCATAGATACAACCCCCCTCCCCCAGTCATTTCCCGCTTGGGGCCGCCATTGGGGTGGGCCCCTAAACACTATACAGGGAGCTGATAGAGATGGGACAGGGGCCTTCTCCCAGGGATTGGGCGGGTGCAGTGTGCCAGGCTCCTTTTGGGTATGACATCATGTGGCCCTCATTCTGGCTCGAAGGGGCTCAGAGGCATTCCTTACCTTGCCCAGGGTCACTTAACAAGTTGTGACAGGGCTGGGATTTGAATCCAGGCCCTCAGGCCACTCCCTACTGGACTGAGTAGTTGTCACCATAGTTGCTCACAGCCCTGGCCTAGTCCAGAGGTCCCTAAGAGAGCAGAGAGGAGGTGGGGGTGGGACCCACAGGGCTCTTGAATGTGGTACCACACGTGGCTTTCATTCTGCCCCAGGACCTATTTGCTGTGGACACCCAGATGGGCAGTGTGACCTCCCTGACAGCCGGTGAGCAGGGCTGGTGAACAAGCCAGCCAGGCCGGGGTAGGATCAGGGCTCAAGCATGTGGGGCAATAGGGGCACTCTGGGCCACTCTGCACCACTGACAGTCTCACGAGGACCCTGCCCATGCAGAACCCTTTCCTAGCCAATAGCCTGCCTCTCTTGCTCCCCTCTGTTCCCCTCGTCCTGGCTCTGGCCCCCACCCCTGCTCTTTGAACCCACAAAACTCCCTCTTGCCAGTATCTGCCAGTCATCCTTCCTCCTCCCCATACCTTAGGCAGAGGCAACTCTTCCAGCCAGGGCTCCCTCATTTCCTCTTACCCAGGCCTGGTAATTCTGCCCCTAAATGTCTTTTGAGTCCTCCACCTGCCTGCCTGTACTCACTCCTCCACAAAGCTACCCAAGTACCATTCCCAGACTACATCTCGTCACGCAAGCCCTGCTTAAGAATCTCCTTGGACCCCACTGCCCAGAATCAGCAACCCCCCACCATCCCCATGGGCCTAGCTGCCACCCCTGCAGGCTACATTCATCAGGTAGCAGACGGATGTGCCATGATGGTCTGGCGTGTCCCCAGATCTAGCAGCCCCTGGGCACAGCCAGTGTCTGCTGGGTTAACAATGGACTGAGCGGGGGGCTCCCCCAGGGCCGTGTGCAGTTGGGTGTTTGTGATAGTCTCTTTGTGGGCATCCCTTGGCTTCTCAGGGTGGAAGGGGCATCTGGCTGTAGAGCCTCCAGCCTGAGACTCCGGCCCGACAGGGAGTCGGTGGGAGAGAGGGTTGCCCCTGCGGGTGTTTAGTGGCATCTGCCTTCTCCAGGGGGAGCAGGAGGAAGCTGGAAGCTGCTCACTATCGACCGGGACCTCATGGTGGCACAGTTCTCCACACCCAGCCAACCCCCAAGCCTGGTGAGTGTTGGTGGTCCCCAGGCCAGGAGGCAGGGGTTCTGTGCAGGCAGAGTTCCCCAGGTCAGAACAGGCCCCAGGGTCTGACTATGGCCGGTTAGCTTGTGAGAGGCCAAGATGTGGGTCCAGCCCAGCACAGTTCATGAAAGTCTGGCACCTATGGGAAGAACTACTGGGCTAAGGTCTGCTTTGTACAGAACAGAGTATCTGGGAAAGTGTCCAGTTCTCTGGCTTAACAGGGCACAGGGAGACCCCAGAGCCTAGAAGCTGAGAAAGTGTGTTGGGGGACGGGGTAAGGGCCTTTGTGTATACCAGCCCTCCATGGGAGTCCATGCTATGCCCTCCGGATGACAGAAGGCCCAGCATTGTGAAAGCTGCCCACCTCACACCCAGAGCAGAGGTGGGAGGGCAGGGAGGCAGCCAGTGCCCCTGTGACACACGCTTTCCTCTTGGCAGAAAGTTGGGTTCCTGCCTCCTGCGGGGAAGGAAAAGTCAGTGTCATGGGTGTCCCTGGAGGAGGCTGAGCCCATTCCCGACATCTCCTGGGGCATCCGGGTGCTACAGCCGCCCCCAGAGCAGGAGAATATGCAGTATGGTGAGCTGGGCCCAGGTAGAGGGGCGCCTTCTCCACGTTCCCCAACACGTGGCACCTGTGGTCACCTTTCCTGCCTCCTGCCTTTCATTGTGGGGTTTCTTGGGATTGCCTCCAAGAGATTTTCTCTTCCTCTTGTGGACAGTCATGGGGAGTAGTGTCCAGGCATCTGGGTGCCTGCTGTGGGTATCAGAGCTTGGTATCACCAGGCCAGATGACCTTTGGTGGGAAAATCAAGGCCCAAAGAAGACAGGAGGCCTGTGACCACACCTCACCCAGAATGCTGTCCTTGCAGAGTGGGGTTCTCTGACTGGGGCCCATGTGTCACGGTGGGCTGCCTTAGCCAGGTCTTTGTTTCAGAGGTCAGCTCAACACCTGCAGCTACAGCTGAGGCCTTGGCTGGGGCAGCCTTTGGGCAGTAGCATTGGCTCTTCTAACTGCTGCCTTCTCCCTACAGCTGGCCTTGACTTTGAAGCAATCCTTCTGCAGCCCAGTGATCCGCCAGATAAGACCCAGGTGCCCATGGTGGTCATGCCCCACGGTAGGCATCTGGCCTAAGATCCCCTGCCCTCCTACCACTCCTAGCTGGCTCTTTTATCCTCTGCTTCCTGCCCATAGGGGGTCCCCATTCATCCTTTGTCACTGCCTGGATGCTGTTCCCAGCCATGCTTTGCAAGATGGGCTTTGCAGTACTACTAGGTGAGTGAGCAGGGCCCCCCAGCTATACAGGGCTGTGGGGGGGGGCAGTGGGGAGTGGGGATAGGCCTGGTTTGTACAAGCACCACGGGTACCACCCTAGTCACCAGGCTTCTCTGTAGCCTGGACCTGGTAACCACTACCAGGAAGTGCCCTGGCCCAGCCTCTGGCTCCATGGAGTGGTGATAACATGGACGAACTTGGGATTTCCATGGAAAGGGTGCTGTGGTCACTGGGCAGCAGCCTCAGATCTCTTGGCCCCTTCCCCTTGACAGTCTGTGTGCAACTGGCCCCAAGGCTTACTTCATAGATGGGTGAAAAGGTGTCCAGGGGCTGGGAATGTCACTTGACCACCCCGTCTCGTCCTTCCCTGGTCTCCAGTGAACTATCGTGGCTCCACGGGCTTTGGCCAGGACAGCATCCTCTCCCTCCCTGGCAATGTGGGCCACCAAGATGTGAAGGATGTCCAGGTAGCAGGGGCTGGGGCTTCTGGACAGGCTGGAGGGTGGGGTTGGGGTTGTGGCTCCATCCAGCTGGGCAGGCAGTTGGTTGCAGCGTGCTCTACCTCACCCTATAGTTTGCAGTAGAGCAGGTGCTCCAGGAGGAACACTTTGACGCAGGCCGTGTGGCCCTTATGGGTGGTTCCCATGGTGGCTTCCTCTCCTGCCACCTGATTGGTCAGTACCCAGAGATGTATAGTGCCTGCGTGGCACGGAACCCTGTGATCAACATCGCCTCCATGATGGGCTCCACTGACGTCCCTGATTGGTGGGTGTGCCCCACAGGTCCCTGCCCTTCTCCCCTCTACCCCATACCCCCGTGGAGCCGCCCAGGCCCCTGAGCTCCAGCGGCTGCATCAACTCAGTCTCTTGCAGGTGTGTGGTGGAGGCTGGCTTCCCCTATAGCAGCGACTGCCTGCCAGACCTCAGCATATGGGCTGAGATGCTGGAGAAGTCACCCATCAAGTACACCCCTCAGGTATGCAGCCTTCCCCCTGCCCAACCTGTCCAGAGCCTGGAGCCCTGCTCACCATGGCTCCCCACATACCCAGGTGAAGACGCCACTGTTACTGATGCTGGGCCAGGAGGACCGGCGTGTGCCCTTCAAGCAGGGCATAGAGTATTACCGTGCCCTCAAGGCCCGGAATGTGCCTGTTCGGTGAGTGCAGCAGGACAGCCCTGGCAGCTGGTGGGCAGGTGAGCAGGGGAGGACCTTCTAGCCTCAAACATGGCTGCCCAACCCCTACAGGCTCCTGCTATATCCCAAAAGCACCCACGCGCTATCGGAAGTGGAGGTGGAGTCGGACAGCTTCATGAACGCTGTGCTCTGGCTGCGCACGCACTTGGGCAACTGAAGCCCTGCCTCTCTCTGCATGAGCTGGTTGGCAGATGCCACACTTGGCTCTTGGAGAGCCTAGGGTCTGGCAGAGTGACGAGAGGCGTCCTGGGCTCTGGACTCCATGGGTGGGTGAGCGAGAAATGTGGGCTATATGGTTATAATAAATGAGGAGAGTCTGGTTACTGCTGGTACTTTGTGCCAAGCCATCCCTAATCCCAGCCCCACCTTTGGGGTTCAGAGACTGTAGTGTAGCCCCGGGTGTGGTAGCCATAAGGACCTCATTTATCTCCAGTGTGAGAGGGGAAAGAAAAGGGAGAGGTTCAGCCGCTGCCTTCCTGGCCAACTGGGACTCCACCCTGTGCTGTTCCCTGTGCTGTTCCCTGTGCTGCAGCCCCTTCTGTTAGATGCTGCCCTACGCCACCCCTCTCCCAGCAGTTCACGTAGGGGACTAGTGAGGCCCTGCACTTCCATAGACTAAGGTTGTCCTAAGGGTCAGATCGCCCAGCCCAGGGTACACAGGGCTCGAGCCATCCAGGCCGAGCAAGGAGTTGCCAGTTCATTCCCTAGACACAAAGGCTAAGAAGCACCCTGCACAGGCGTAAAGAGGAAAAGTGGCTTTATGTCTGACAGGAAGCTCCGTCCTTCCCAAGGTACATGGGATTGAGGCCGGGCCTAGCCCAGCCGTATGACCTTGTGAATCCAGTCCACAAACACAGAGACACGCATGAAAATGGCTGGCCAGCGGGGCCGTGCACACACTCGGTTGGGGATTATAATTCCCTCCAGAACCCAACAGTCATGGGTAAAGCAGGCAAGTGGGCCCCCGTAGTCACCCTGGTAGGTGGGAGAACTGGTGAGGAGCCTGGGCCATGGCATAGCCCCTTTGGGGATGAAGTAGTACATTTTCAGCTTCCCATACCCTCCCCAGGCTGGCTGCCACTGACCTCACAGGCACCCACAGGGACCAGCAGTGCCTTAGTGCACATCTCACTCTCGCGTACGCGTCCTCGGTGTTTGATATTACATTCCTGATTGGAGATGACAGTCAGCGAAGCCACATTTAGCACCGCATTGTTCCCTGTATCTATAGTGAAGGAAAATCGGAAGAAGAGGAGGGCCTTTGGATAGGATCCCAGGCTGGGCCTCCATGCCCCTGCACTGTGCTCTTACCTTTGGTCTCACCCCAGCCTGCAATCTCACACTTGGTCTCTGGAGGTACCACATACCGCTCAGGGGGCAAGCAGATCAGGGCCACATGCTGGTTCAGGGTCGCAGGTCTTTGGCAGGAATAAGGGCACTCAGGGCCCGAGGCCACAAGGCCCAGCCCCACCTCACACCCTCTTGACTTGTCACACACCTCTCCAGCTTGAGCAGAACAAGCTGGGAGCCTGAAGGCCCACACACCAACTTGGCCACTGGGACTCGCTGCAGGCCTGGGTCCCCAGGCTGCGGGTTCTGGAACATGGTGCCCAACCACACCTCATAGCCTGTGAGAGGCACATGGCTGGGAGAGAAGCTCTGCTAAATCAGTCGTGACTCATAGTCCACAGCCCCAAGGCTTACCTGTTGGCTCACCTGGGAAAGGTGGCTAAGGGGAAGATGAGGTGGGGGGTGGGACTAGGTGGGTCCCCAAACACAAGGGAGGCTCACCAGGAGGAGAAGCACTGCCGGGCAGTCAGTACCCACTGTTCCTTCACTAGGGACCCCCCACAGAAATGCTGGCCCTGCCTGGAAGAGGAGCGAGTAGGAGAGGGAACAGTTAGCCCTGGCACACAGGCTGGGCCTGCCAGCGGAGGCCAGGGGCGGGCATAAGCACAGAAGATACAGCCTCAGCTCCTCTCTTGGGGAGATGGGCAGTTGTGCCTCACCGATTGCGCAAGCTGACTGTCCAGGGTGAGATTCCAGGCTGGCCCCCCACCACACGCAGCTTGGAGCGATGCTGGTCCAGGGGAGGCACCCTCTTACCACACTTCTCAAACAGCACCTGGTCTGGGGGATAGGACGGGCCGGATGAAACCCCACCTGTACAGAGATAGGGGGAAAAGGCCCCCAACCGCCTGGCCCACGTCCCTACCTGGGGGCTCCAGAATGGACGGTGGTTGGTCATCATCTGAAAGAGCCAAGTTTGTCCAAGTTAAGAGGGCCAGCTTTCGCGGTAGAAGCTGGGGGTGGAACCTCGGGGGAGTGTCACCGGCGCTCACCGCAGGGCTGCAGTGCACAGTAGTCGAACGGAGTCCCGGGGTCTGTAGTGTAGCACCAGGGACCGTGACTATCCCCGTCTGGGTTCCGGCAGAAGTTCTCCTCCAGGTGTGCGTGTGGAGCGGAGCTGGGCGTGAACCTAGGCGGGAAGGGGAGCAAAATCATAGTAGGGTAATCCCAAGCCCGCGTTGGGTTCCAGTTAGAGAGGCCACGGCATGCCGCGTTTGGGTTAGGACGAGAGGGCTGGGCGCGCCGGCCGACTCACTGCGGTTTGTGTGGAGTCTCTGCGGACCAGCGCTGGCACAGGATGCCCTTGCGAGTCCTGCTGATCGAGCCGCGGTACCGCTCCCCTGCGCCGTGGTAGCAGTCTGCGGTGGGCAGACAGGGACGGCCGTCAGCCGGTTCTTGCCTCAACCTGCGGCTAAATGCCTTCAGCCCCAACTCGGGCCTTACCCTCCGGCCGCATATCGTCGGTGCAGCGCCGGATCTGGTAGCAGAAGGCCACCCGCATTCCGGGCCGCGATGTGAAGCACCAGGGCGCCTCCGAGCCGTCGGGGTTCCGGCAGAAGTTCTCCCGAAGGTCCCTGGGCAGGCGCTCCGCTCAGCGCAGGTGGGTCCCAGCCTGCCTCCAGCTGGAGCCCAGCCTCCGGCTCCGCCCCAGACCCTACCTTCCTTCAAGCCCCGCCCGGGACCACCCTCCTCAGGTCCCATCCGCAGGAGAAAGCCCCCAACGACAGCCCGCCACCTCACTTGCACGCGTATTTCTCGGGCGCAAAGCGATGTTGATGAGGGCTCTGTGCGTCCCAACGCTGGCAGGGCACGCCCGCCGCGGTAGTGTTGGCCGTGCCCCGGTAGCCCTCGCCCTTCCCGCGGAAGCAATTGAGCGTCGTGGCTTCGTGGCGCGGTTGTGTCTCGGACCCTTGGATGGACCGTGGCGGGTCGGAGCCCGATCCGAAGCTGAGACCCGGGCTGGGGCTGAGGCTGAGCCCCACTCCCGCGGGTCCCCACCCGGGTCACGCCCAGCCCGCCCCCTTTCCCCAACTATGCCACGCCCCCCACGTTTCCCAGGTGCCTCCCAGGCCGGGTCCTCGCGTCCTACCGCAGCGGGGGAGGTCGCAGAATTCTCGCTCCACCTGCGGGTCCGTGGTATAGCACCAGGGCCGCTCTGAGCCGTCCGGATTCCGGCAGTAGTTGTCGTCCAGGTCTTTGTCAAGGAATCTGGGGGCGGTAGCGGGACGTGAACAGCACCCTGGGACTCAGGCCGTGTCTGTATCCGATATACTGCCTGATATCGGGTCGGCCCCCCACCCTAGCCTGGCCGCGGTGGCGCCGAGCCCGCCCTGCGTACTTGCCGGGCTCAAAGGGGTGCGGGTGCGGGCGCTGCAGGTCCCAGCGCTGACACTCGCGTCCTGACTCGGTGTGGTCCACAGCGCCGCGGTAATCCTCGCCATTGCACCAAATGCAAGCGGCTGGAAACACAGAGCCAGTGGGTTCGTGGACTGACATGAGCATGCTCCGCCAGCCCCAGGCTTGACCAGGAGCCAATTACCCTCCCGGCAGGACTTGATGCCACAGCTCTGGAAGCGCACAGCAGGGTCTGTCGTGTAGCACCATGGCCCTCTGGGGTCTCCATCCGGGTTGCGGCAGAAGTTCTCCTCTAAGCCGTTCCGGAGTGTAGGCATGTACCTGGGTGCAGAGAGCTGTAATATAGTGCGTGTTGGGGGCAGGCATCAGCCAGGAGGGGCAGGGGAGGTGTCTGTTTCACCTGTGGTCATTGGGGAACCTGTGGCTCCAGTGCTGGCAAGGTAGGCCACCTGTGGTGATGGCCACAGTGCCCCGATACTTGACCCCATTATCCATGATGCAGGTCTGCACATAGTCTGGAAGCAATAGACCCATGGTCAATAAGGCCCGGGGCCCCAGCACCCCTATCCTCAGCTCACCCTTCTCTGAAGCCCCACACCTTTCTTTTGGAAAAGATCACAGCGCCCTGAACGCTGCAGCTGTGTGTGGGGTGAATCCTGAGTCCATGGCAGCAGCTGGCAACCATGGCTGCTCACGTTGTAGTGGAAGGCCCTGGAAGGAGGAGGCACACGGTCACCCAGTGCCCAGGTCCCCCTGCCTCCAGCAGTATCTAGGTCCTTGTGCCACTCACCTGCAGTCCAGTAGAGGCCCGCAGCGCCTTGCACACTCCTCAGCATCTGCCACATCCTCTTGCCAAGGCCTGGGCCCCTCTGCGTGTAGCAGGTGTTGCAGCTCTGTACCCCGGAGTGTCTGGAAGTCATTCAAAGGTGAGCGCTGCCCTGTGTGGTGGGCATGAGTTGTCAGTTCATGTATATCAACACATCCACACTTCATTCGAGGGATCAAAGCTACAAGGCTCTGGGATGGTCTCAGTGGATACATTCAAGGATCAGACCCCTGTAAGGGTGGGAGAAGCTGGCCCAGACATGGTAAATATTACCCGTGCCCCTGTTTTTTGGGCAAGGCACCAGGCTCAGGTCTAAAACATTCTCTAAAAGAGCAGTGGGAGATGGTGTTCGCCCTCTGGAACTTGTTTCATCTCATCTCTCAGCTGAGAATGCCAAGGCTCAGAGCTGTCCTACTATCCAGGCAGAGGCTCAACCCAGGCATTCTGACTCCAAATCTGGTCTCTCACTAGCAGGGCATTTGCTAGGTTAGAGGGTTAGATCCGCCTCATGAGAGGTAACTGCTTGCATGTGTGCATGCATCTGTGCGGCCCCAACACTGCCTCAATGCTACAGCAGATGTCTGTATTCCTGGGGCCACCCAGCTCTGTGCAAGAAGCCAAGATCTCAATGCTCCATGCCCAGTAGGGCAGTGAGCTCCGGGCTTGAACAGCAGGACGGGCCTGGGGCTGACTCCTTCCTGGAAGCAGATGGGGCTCAGCGGGGTTAGGGGCACACTCACCGGGGGTCCCTGAGCACTGCATCAAAAGGAGCAGGAGTAGGAGCCACCCCATCCTCCTGGCTGGAGACTGCACTGTGATCCACCACAGCCCCATCCGGGAAATTGTGAAACCTGTCCCTACGGGATTGGGTGGCCCTGGTTCCACACCCCCACTCCAGGCCTGCTGGGGCCTGACCTGAGACCCAGGAATGGGGGTGGGGCCAGGGCTCAGGTCCCCTGGGTGAGGGGCAGCGGACCCTCACTGTGGCACAGCTAGCCCGTGAGAAGCCACCCTATGTAGGAGGAAGTTGTTGGAAAGTTTCAGTGGGGACTCTTAAAGTGCCTTGGGGTGGGAGTGGAGCCCCCCTGCAGCCTAGGCTGCTCTGGAGGGAAGGGCAGTATGGATATGGTTGTTGCCAGAGGCCTGAGTTCCAGCCCCTAGGCGGTGATATTAAACCTTTCTGAGCCTCAGTTTCCCCCTGGAAAGTGGGGAACGTTCCCTGCCCCAACCCCAAGGCAGCCTGCCCCCTTTCCGCTGACTTATCAGGCCCCAGCTGTAGGCATACCGGCCCACGCCCCTGACAGCAGAGCCCAGGGAGGACGCCCTCTCCCCGCCAGAGGTGCCATCCCAAGGAAGGTGAGCGAGGTCACCTGTCTGGCCTGAATGGAGGTGGGGGTAACAGGTAGCAGGGACCCTGGCAGGAGAGGCCTATCAGACGTTCTTAGGGGACATCTGGGTCGGGCCTCCCAGTATGAGGAGGAGTTGGGACACACGGGCTGGAGCCACTCCCAGTCAAGACATTGCGTTCCGATATGGCTGGGCTAGGATCTCCTGCGTAGGCCGGGGGTCGGGCAGTTGGGCATTCCGGCGAGGCATAGTCCAGGAACACCCCGGCGGGAGGTGGCGGAGGTGGCGGAGACGGCCCCCTGGCGGAGCCCGAGCGCGGGCCGGTGCGCGTGCGCAGTGGGCGCTCAGTTTGACCCCGGACGGGCGCCGTAGCCGAGAGGCTGGGCGGATGTTGTGAGCCGGGACGCCGCGGCCGAGGCTGGGGGTGAGTGAGGGGCGGCCCGGCTCCCAGCGGGGCGGGTCCCCGCGCCTCCCCTCGCGGCCCCGGCCGATCCAGTGCGAGAGTGCCTGCCGCGCGGGGGTCGCAACCTGTGGTGCGGGGCTCCGGACTGGAGCTGGCCTGGAGGATCCTCCGGAGCTTGTGGCCGGGTGGGGGCGACTTGGGGGAGACGTGCGCTGCCCTCCGCGTCCTTGGGCTTCGAGATGGGGTCGGTTCTGTTCCGAGCCCGGATCGGCGGGCCAAGGCAGAATCGACGTGGGAGGGACCCCCCGAGCAAAGTCAAGGTCTGCGTCTCACCTGGGTCCTCAGTACCTGACATCCAGAGTGGATGTCTGGAAGGTTTACTGATCAAATGAGTGACCACCTGTAATCTGACCTGTACCTGCTCTGGTGTGAGAGGGGCAGAGGTCATGGACGCCCGCGGCGGGTCCGCGGGGGGCGGCAGGGCGGGAGAGTCGCCTTCCCCAGGGACAGGCGTGGTTCGGACTGGGAATGGGCAAGGGTGTGTGATGGGAGCAGAGGACCTGTTTGCGGTGTGATAAGAAACTGAGCTGCAGAAAAGAGAGCAATGTCTAAAATGGTGCTAGAAGGCCAGGTTCTAGACCAGCGATGTCGAATAGAACTTTCTGTCATGATGGAAGTGTTCTATATTTTTGGTGTATGGTGCTGTAGCCGTTATCCACATGTGGCCATTGAATCTTTGAAATGTGCCTAATATACCAGACATTTTAAAGTTTTTAAAACTTTCATTTAAATTTGGAGAGCCACATGTATGTAGCTAACAGCTACTGTGTTGGACACAGCTTTAGACAAGGCTGGCACCAGCGACTTGGGGAAGCTTCTGAAGCAGCTGTAGCAATACCCCGCTGAAGGATGGACATTTTCCCATTGCTAATGGGAAAACCAACAGGGTCTGCGATGAGGACTGGGCAAGGGTGGTGCTCTGATGGGGTGGGAGGCAGTGTGTGTGAATTGGAGCAAGAAAACTAGCAGGCCTTTGGACAAGAGAAGGGAGGGTCCTGGAGCTGAAGAAGGAGGCCCTGGCCTCAGGTGTCAGCAGGATTTGTAGCTGGAGATGGAGACGGCTCCTCACCCTCGGATGATGGACTACAGTATTTGGGGCAGTGTGGTGTAGGGTTCTCTCGTCTGGATGTGTGCTGGACCCAGTGTGGCTGACGACTGAGAAGGATACAGGGGCTCTGCAGCTAGGTCACCACGCTTTGGATACTTTGGTCTGATTTTCCCAGGGTCGAGGCATTTAGCTGGGTTCAACAAACATATACCTGGCACCCACTCTGTCGGGTCCTGTACTGAGCACTGGGACATCGTGGGGCCCTGTCACTGTGGGCCTGTCACATGAGGCCCTACTTACCCTCTCTCCCTGTGTAGGAAGCTGGGAGCCCCTGCTTTCCTCTGCCCTGGGCTGGTACGGGTGTGAGTGTGCATGCACCTGGCCTCGTCTGCTCCCAAGCCTTCCTGCCACCCTAGGACTGAGGTCAGTGTGGGAGCCCTTGGCTGGCTTCACATAGACAGCCTCTGCCTCTGGCTCAGCCCTCAGGACCACTGGCTGCTCACAAGAGATGAAGGATGGCATCCAAGGGGGCTGGCATGTCTTTCTCCCGCAAGAGCTATAGGCTGACTTCAGATGCTGAGAAATCCAGGGTCACAGGTAAGGGCTGGCAGGGCTGGGAGGAGGCTCCTTGTGTTGAGGAAAGGAGAAGGAAGAGACAAAGGTGGCAAAGTCCCAGGTTCAGTGAGCCTCAGGTCTTGCTGCACCCCTGTACCTGTCAGCTAGCTCTTCTCCACCAGCTGCCATGAAGCAGTGCACCCAACATGGCTGTGCTCCTGACCCCTGTGGCTGGCCTAAGACCAGGAGCCTTTGGGGCCAGCAGAGGCTGAGAGCTGGACTGACCATATGACCCTTCTCTCCCTTCTGACCTGTGGCCCAGGCATCGTACACGAAAAGCTACTGAATGACTACCTGCACCGCATCTTTTCCTCTCCTGACCGCGCACCCACCGCAGCCACCAGCAGGTATGGCCGGGTGGATAGCCCTCCTCACTCTGCAGGACCAGACCAGAGGCTGGAGGCTGCGTTGTGGGGAAGGGGGCGGGCTTGGGTTCCTGCCGCTCCTGGCGATGAGGCCTCCAGCCAGAGTCTACCTTGTGGACTCCGCTTCTTCCTTTCCCCTGGCAGTGCTAGTACCTTCCTTCTGAGGGAGCTGTGGGAACTAGGTGGGTGGTGCCCATTCAGCACTCAGCATAGCACCTCGCACCTACCCCACAATCAGCGTCTGGTGCCTTGTGCACCTGCCCGCACCCCTTCCACACTGGCCCTCTGTAGCCTCTGCCTGAATCTATGAAGTGCAGACCCCAGCAGCCCCTTTTCCTTGCAAGTTTAATGCATTTAAGTTTAGTCCATATCAAAGTTACAAGTGCGCTTTAGCAGAAACTTAGAAGAAAAAGCACCTGTTATCTCTTTATTTTAACATGACTATTTGAGCATGATTTTTTTTTTCTGTTTTCTTTATCTCACAATGTATGTAGTTTGGACTATACTGTATAGAAATTTTTTTTTAATTAAAAAATTTTTTTTGTCACCGTCAGTCCTTTTTTTAAAAGAAGTTTTATTGAGGAATAATTGCCATATAATAAACAGCATGTATTTAAAGTGTGCAATACAGTGAGTTTTCATGTGGATAACTTGAAACCATCACTACCATCAAGATAATGGATATATCCCTCACCTCCAAAAGTATATAGACATTTAAATCCTGTTTTTGTCATCAAACGGGAGCCTCTGAGTTTGATCCTGGTGGGCACCTATAGGGCCAGGGGTCAGCGAGCCCTTAGCCACACCCTGGTTTGGAGGGGCTTTTGCTTTTGTGAACAATGCTGTGAGGATGCCCAGGGTTGTTAGAATCAGGTGGTTAGAGTATTAGAACTGCAGTCACTTTTAAGTTTATTGCCAAATTACTTGTTGAAAGGGTCATGCAAATCCTCCCTCCCTGCATTGAGGCCTCGGTGTCCCTATCACACAGCCCCCTTGCCAGCCTGGGCTGTTCTGTCTGTCACAGTCTTTGCTCTCTGGGCGGGCACAAAGGGCAGCATTTTGTTACCTATTCCATTTAAGCACCTGTGGTGGCCAGGGGGTTCCTGCTTCTGGAGGGCTGCTGGCCACCTCTACCCCAAACCCAGCCCTGGCCTGCTCCCAGGGCCATCTGATCCCTACTTCATGTGATACCAGAAATGGTCTTGCTGCCACTGGTGCTGTGGCTGCCAGGACGGAGAGCAGGTGGCAGGCCCATCAGTCAGTGGTTGTGTGGATGGAGAACACTGGGCTGGGGCCTGGGCAGCCAAGAAAGGGCAGGCCCGTGCCGGGTTTGGCTAGATGGGCAGGGCCACAGGCCCTTGGAGAGTGAGTCTCAGGCCATCCTCTCACAGCTGCTCAGACTCCAGCAGCCCTCCCAAGTGCAGGCATGGAAGAACTGTTGAGGAAGCCTCCTTTCTCCTTGGACCAGTGGGGTACTCAGATGAGGCTGCTCAGCCTGCAACATCAATGGCTGAGCACTCACTGTATGGCTACTACCTGGCCTTGGTCTGGGGCTGGCTCAGCAGGAGTGGGGAAGAGGCTTTGTGCGTCTCCACCTGCTGTAGCTCGGGGTCAGTAGGAGCTCAGCAGGAGAGCGTGTGGTCCCTGAGCCTGGGCTGAAGCTACCTTGCCAGAGAATCAGTGCTTCGGCACATCCACTTCCGCTTCCAGATCCTACTGCCCAGGCAGATGAATGGGGTAGGAGCTGGGATTAGAGGTAGAAGAGCAGGTGCTGGCAGCCTGCTCTCAGCAGGTGGCTGGTTCCAGATGGGCATCGGGCCGCTGCTCTGCCTGAGCCCTGCTCATTTCCACCACCCCATTCCCTGCTATTCTTAGTGCTGAGCTCAGGGCAGGCTGGCCACATTAGACAGAGCCCTTGCTCCTCTGGGCGTGTGTGCGGGGAGGATGAAGGGGCCACTCAGGCAGATTTGCCCCTTTGGCTGGGGCAGGCGGCAGATAAGTGGTCCATGTCCTCTGCTGGCCTGGACAGGTGGGTACAGGACAGAGCCAGACATGCCCGGACATGTCTGATTTAACACAGAGATTTCCCTGGCTAGGTGGTGGGGAGAATGGAAGTCTCCCCACAAAGGAACCACAGGTCTGGGGTCTGGCTGGACTAGCTGTCCTTGGTGCTGACCGCCTTGGGGATCGGCATGTCTCCCAGCCTCCCTTTCCCAGGCATAACCAACACAGCAGCCTTCGAGTTGGGGGCTAAGCAGGGAGCACGCATACTCCCCGGTGTCTTCACAGACTCTCTGATTTACGGCTGTTCCTTTCTACAGCTGAGAGAATTAAGGCTTAGAGAGGGCTCTTTTTTATTTTTTTTTAACCAGTCCTGAGGTGCACCAAATTGGACTAGTCATCATTTTTAGTTTAATACGTAATCTAGCCTTTGGACCCCAGCATGCCAGAATTTAGGACTAGGCACAACCATTTTTCTGGGGCCTAGGCAGCCAAAGCTCAGGGGAAAGGGACTAGGAGAGGGGTTTAGTGTCATCTGGCTGGTTTCAAGGACTTTTGGGCCCCTCGCAGCCTCTCGCTCTCCCCAGGAAACCCCTGAACTTCCAGAACCTGCCAGAGCATCTGGACCAGCTGTTACAGGTGGACAATGAGGATGAGGAGAGCCAGGGTATGTGGCAGCTTCTGGACCCTGGGGCCATGGGGGCCGCCCTGATGAGATCAGTGTACTCTGTGCATTCTGTCAGACCCTGTGCCCTGCCTGACCCCACAGCCACCTCTCCTCTTTTCAGGACAGGTTGAAGGGCGGCTTGGC